GGGGGGGGGGGGGGGGGGGGGGGGGGGGGGGGGGGGGGGGGCCCCCACCAGAACAAGCCAGCGACGCTGGAAAATGGAGCTGGCAGTTCATGCAGGTATAATGAAGTTCCAGGCAGTTAGAAAGAGACAGACCCCATTTGTTAACCCGACATTCTCATTTCTAAAGGACGAAGAAACAAATAGAACACAACAAGCATGGAAGGAAGTAATGGGAAAGAAGGGAGAGAGAGAGGAGCGAGGGAGGGAGGGAAAGACACAAGAATGAGGGTCCTCGTGCGCTTCACCAGCTTCAAGGGGAGGGGGGGGCAGCGGAGGCCCCTTTATTCCTGAGTAATATTGCTCCAGATCTAAAAAGTCCACAATTCTTAAATATCCCAGCAGAGATTCCCTTCGTTTTATCAAGTAATGGTGCAGAAATGTAAACACGCAGAAGTCTGAAAGGCGTTTTCTCTTAGCGGCGAACGCTCCTCCAAGCTTTTGCAGGCGAGGGATCGGGCCCAGGGGTGGGATTCAAATATTTTAACAGCTGGTTCTGTGGGTGTGGCTTAGCTGGTGGGTGTGGCTTGGTGGTCGTGTTATTGGCTGGGCGTGGCCAACTCAACATCACTCACATCGAGGCACGCATCTCCTCGCCTGACCTCTTGTGACTGTGGGGATGCTGCAACAGTCGTAAGTGTGAAAAATGGTCATAAGTCACTTTTTTCAGTGCCATTGTAACTTCGAACGGTCCCTCCACACAAGCAAAGTACCAGCAAAGGAGGGAAAAATAACTCCAGAGAAGTTCCTGAGACAGGAAGTCTAGTCCTGCCAAGAATGTAATAAGGGTTAACGGTGAGGCAGTTTCTGTAAGCAACACCAGAATGTTTCCTTCCTGCCTTCCTTACAGGATTAGCCCTGTAATTTCTTCTAACAACTGCTCAGAATGTTAACAACCGGGTCTAGCAAATAGGTGCGAACTGGTAGAATCCCACCCCGATCGGGCCGCTCTGCCACTGGAACCAGGGCTGGACCTGATGTTGAAAGAAGGATCCCACAAGGGTCCCACTTTAAAGAAGAGAGGGAGGGGCCAACTGGTAATCCAATGCTTCCCAATGGCAGCAACTTCCAAAATTCCTAATCTCAGGAATGCTGTTGCTAAGAATTCTGTGAACCGAAGGCCATCAAGGTTGGCTTATTCTCTGGGCTGGCCCCCA